TCAAGAGCAAAGTTTCCCAAGAGATCTTAAAAAGTCAAAATAGAAGCTAAATATAAAATTTACTATTAAAAACAATAAAATTTGATAATAAGCTAAAACCATAAATAGGTATTTATAGTATTCAAAAATTTATGCTGCGAAGGACCACTCGAAGTAGTAAGTTTGGATTGCCCTCCACGATCCACCGTTTTGTATGTTTATCGCTATCTTGAGTAACATTCATTATCTTCACATTTTAGATCATTGGGCGGCATCGTACTGCTTTGTAGAATTGCTTGGAGACCCGTCGACTACACTCTTTCATCACCATTTGATCCTTTTCTTTAGGTATCAACTCAATGGAGCAAAGGGTGAGGATGGAACCTATTGGCGGCACGCCGAATGGGTTCGGCAATCCTCAAGTCTTCACTTCTTCATTTTTTTAGCTGCCTTTGTTCCTTTTTTCTTGATTGTATCCATGGTTTGTCTCCAAGTATATAAACTTGACATTCAAGTTAATATATCTGTTTTAGAGAGAAAATATGCATTTGAGGACACTAAACCTATAGAAATATAGCGTTAAATGATTCCAAATCGTTGACTCATCAACACCACTACTTAAACTGTTGCTTGTCCTCAAGTAAAACTCAAGTTAAACAGTTCAAAAAAATGTTTCAAATAGTTCTACAGAAGATTCAATCATGACTACACACACCAAGACTCAACTTACTCATGTAAGGATCAAATATGCACTAAAAGACACAAATTGTCACACACCATTATCAAAGATTTTCGAACTCATGATACTTACTTCAAATGCAAGTTCAAGCTCAACAAAAGTGATCAAATTCCCTAACATAAAAAACTAATTATATGTTAATAATCAATGATTTGCAATTTAAGGTTTCAAAATAAATGTGAACGCTCACTCTCACAAAGATAAACACAACGCAAAATTTAACCCTTAGGGTTCCCCATATTTTCCAATCAACTTTTGTTTCACCTCCCTCAATATGAAAAAGGACTTTTAAGGCTTGTAACAGTACTGAGTGTATTGGTCTGGTCATTTAGGCTCAATCACTTTTATCCTCATGAGATGTGGTGCTCATAACTCTTAATTTTCCTTCTTTTATAATTTTATTTTGTGCTCATAAGTTATCCCTTTATTTACTTCAATGGATTGTTCAGAAGAACCCATTTATTTTTGTAATTTCATAACTTTATTCCATGACTTTCTCTTTTTCATTCTTTTCTACTCATTTTCTCTTTCTTTTTTGTATGAAGGGGTTTCATTTTTTCTCAACACCTTGGGTAGAGGGATACTTTTCTTGCACTCTTTTACTTGCCTTCTCTTTTCTCCACACCCCCAACATAGGATTTTGGTTTAATTTGTCTACTTAATCAACCATAACTCAAGAGGATTATAAGTAGAGAAATAAGAGAGGTCATGTTTTCATCAAGTTCATCCAGACAAAGGTAAGGATCAAGGGGTGTTCAAAAGAGATTCACACACTCACAATGTAAGCCATAAAAGAGGTATATGTCAAATTGTTTCACACTCTTTCAATGGTTCCTAAGATCATATCATGAGTTCACATCACTTAGTCAATCAGACTAATGGGGGGAAATTATAGCTTTCTTTATGCATGGTTCATGGTAAACTCATCACACAAGGCATTGACACCTAATTTATATAAGCCTCCAGACCTTAAAAAGTGCGCAATGTTCATTGCAACAAACTCAATTTGATAATTGACTAATCACAACGAGATGCAAAGAGTTCACATATTGTCTATGCAACTTAATTTGGCCTTGTTGTAGTTGCACATTCATGCTCATTCAATTTCAATCACTATTAAAGTCATTGGTATTGATCAAAACGAGACTCATTTTGCCTAAGAATAACCATATTAACGTACATACAAGAGGTGGCAGAAAGAAGAAATTTTTTTGGATGGGTCAAACTATTTGCAATTAAAATAAAAGAAGCCACAAGCTAAAACATCCGAAAAAAGCAATATAAAGTACAATTTAAGACATAATAGCCCAAATATTTACACTAAAGCACGAGTCACAAATATAATACAAAAGTTGAGTCTCACCCCACTATAAAAAAGTATTTGTTCTTAAATGAAAATGAGATAAAAATATCCAAATAGTAAGATAATGTAAGTTAGAGAGGGAGGTAAAGATGGGTCTTTTGCACACAGTTTCCTCATTTGTCGAGGTACCATTGCTCTGTGCATCAGCTTGATCTTGGGCCTATGTGCATGTATTCTTGAATAAGCTCCATTAGAGACAACGCTAATGTTACACCATAGAAAGCTAATGACTTAAGCTAGACCTCTAAATGAATTTTAATGACTTAAAAAGAAATAAAAAGATGTTTTGGTCCTATATTAAGGTCACTAGATTAGTTTGAAAGGATTAGTTCATAAGGAATTAAAAGCAACATTGACGTCGGTAAATTAATAACCTAGGCTATCGTGGTGATAGTTCTAGAAGGAAATAGGTTGAAGGATACGTTTAAGGGATTGACCATGATAAGATAATATATATATGTGCATGTACCTATGTAGGTGTTAAAGAGGTCAAGGCCAAGGGAGGAGCCTAGCTTAAGGGGAAATCCAAGGCCAAAAGCCAAGTCTGCCCCAAAAGAGAGGCTACTACGTTAAGCTCAAAGGACAAGACCACGACTCGGGGTCCACTCCAAGACTCTTCAATATGGTCGTGGAGTTTCCTTGGTATAAACTTCACTTATAAGTTGGGAGGTGGCTATGTTTTGGGGTAGCTACTGCCGAAGACACCACAAAAAACTTATCGTCTTAGGGTGCCCAAAGGGAAAGAGGCTTGCTCTTGGACTTCACTTAGAAGTGTGGGATGGTGGAACCTGTAGGGAGGCTACTTCATATCCCTTAACGAGCTACACTGTTATTGATGGTGTACTTTACGACTCGTGAAGGTGCTTGTGAAGACTGGATGGTTTTCTTTATTAAAACTCAAGAGTGGTTTTTATTTTAAAAGTCCAACTAAGTGAGCAGTGTTTTGGGTATTTTAGATGTTTAGTATATATAGACTTTAGGTCATGTTACACCCATTCCCACATCAAAACAAATCCCCAAATTCAAAACCCAATTGCTCTCCCCTCTCTCTATATTCTTTCACAAACAAAGACTCCATTGAAGAAGAAGGTCAAAGCTTCAAGTAGGGTTCAAGAACATGATTCTTCTCCATTAATCCTGAAGGATTATCAAGGTATGAGAATTCTTCACTTTTGGGACTCATTTCCCCAAAAGGTTCCTTCAAAATTGATTTCGATGTTCTAAATTTCTAGATTTCACTCAATTTCATGGGTCACTTTCAAAATTAACTTATTTGGTTGTGAATTGGATAATTATGATTGAATATGAATGTTAATGAATGAATTTTATGGTTTAGGATTTTGACCTAATTCTCCATGGACCCATGAATATTCGTTTTTTCTTAACCCTAACTTTTGAATTTTGTTGAATGATGATTAGAGTTTATGACATTGATTATGTTATTTTATAATTAACTATTGTATTTTTATTTTAATCTAATTGAAGGATGATCATCATGAATTTGGTATGAACCCTTTGGAAGGTATCTTGAAGGCCATGTGTATGAACTTCAAGGTTATGAACATTCTATTGTGGTATTGTTGGTTTATATTTGTAAGGATGATTACTTGAAGAATGTATGATAGAATTACAAATTTATTATCATGATACAAATGTTAGGGCTGTTAGATAATGGTGGGTGTGTTATGATGTGGAATTTAAGGTAATTCTTCTGCACATTCTATGACTTTGTCATGAAGTAGTATTCTCAAATGATGATGATTAAGATAAAGACATTCTCATCCTAAACCTATGAGCTATATATGTGCTATATGATGGGTTAATACAATACCTATGTTATGAATTAATTATTACGAATGACTTCAATACCCTTCAAAAAGGGAATTGAGCTTAGCACTGAGTGAACTTGACAATGAGAGGTGTTCATTCACAAAGAAAGAAAGATTCACACTGTAATATCTCATAAGGTGGAAATTACAATGCTAGTAATCATAAAGAGGGTTTCTAATAACAATCTCCTATTTCCTTAACCATGAGCCCCCATAGGAATCTTAGCTAGTGGATCCATCTAGATGCTATCGTGAATTTAATGTCCTACCTTAACAAGTAGGACACGCTCCTTTTGGTGAGAGGGGATTACACCAGATTCTATGTAGCTCACATAGTCTATGTTGGTTATAAAAAATTTTCCGAATGCTTAAAATGATATAGGTAAGAAAATTGCACAAGTGGGTATTAAGAGAGGTCCTAGGGTGTGTTCTTTATTGATAATTAACTTGAATAATATTATTTGGTTTTCACTTGTTATGAGGATGTAAGAAGTAATTGTCTATGCTTGTTATCTTTTAAATGGTTTGCTTAGGTGATGTTGGGGTATGGAACTTCACATATACATTGCACTAGTGGAGTTGAATTGGAGTTTATGAGTAAGGTCTTCTGAGGTGTTTATTAAATGGATGCAAATGTGAAACATTGAATTATGGCTTTACTATAATGTTACTCATGATTACATATATATATATATCTTGTTTGATCGTATGAAGTTGATTATATGTTCTTGGAATGTGAATAAAGGCTTTAAAAGTGAATATAACATGTCTTTACCTAATTGTCCCTTTTTGTGCGTGTTTCAAATGTTTTACTTGCACAGTTTCTATCACATCCGTGGAGAACCCCTTAGAAGTAACCGGTGGTGTTGTCGTAAATGAGGAACAAGACTAACTTCTTAGCATTCATCATTACTTTCATACATTAAATTCCAGAAAATTTAAAACTTTTCATCTACATCTACTTCATGAGGTTTAATTAGACCTCTCGGTTACACATAGTATATATAGGGAGTTTGCTTAGACTCCTCACAATAAGAAGTTTACTAAATCTTCTAATTTTTTGTCACATATATACATAACATACACAATATAGTCTCAATAGGGATGTCTCACATTAAACCATCTAAACGGAATAGTACAATATGGGCATATCTCTTACACAAATGTATAAATGACACTTAGGGCTTACAACAATATCTTGAAACAATAAGAGTGCAATGATTGTCTTTAGACTATAACAATGTAACATAGGCAGAGTAAGAGAAAAGCATCATCCTCGGAACTTGAGGACATACCCACATTTGGACAAATCATCAAAGCCTTCCTGCATGATGGTCATAAACCCTTCAATGATCGGAATCTGAAATGTTTTTGAAAAGGGAGAAATAGGGGTTAGCACATCAGTTGTACTATGTATGGAAATATATACACAAACAATATATAAATCATGCTAAAAATGGACATTTGATAAAGCCCTGCCAAGTTACTTTGAAAAGCCTTATGCACAACCCGAGAGCACATATAAGACAATAATCACATATTCCTTATGATACAAGCATACTCCACACAAGACCAACATACTCAAGTATAAGCAAGTCAACATGTGTAATAGCATAATTGAATACATAACCAACCCAACTCCCACGTCAAGATATAATAACCAAGAATGTAGAAGATTTTATAACCTTATCATACATACAAGACCATTACTCATAACCCAAACATTAAGTCCACAAGTGCAATGACCAAGTAGAGACGCATAACCTTACTCAACCAAGAACACCCAACAAAAGACCATATGATATGTCTAACATGATATAACATAGCATTAAGAGGAATCATCACCTATCTAGCAACACATACCAATAACATGTTCATAAATGAAACTAAAATAGTATACAATCATTAACATGTAACATCAACATATGCATGTAATTTACATTAGAACACATAAAAAAACTTCCCAAGACTTCCTTTAAGGAAAACTAGTGCAATGTATAGGTACACCATGCCTAGACTAAGTCAAACCTCTTAGGTCGCCCTAGTTAGTGTTCATATTCTTACTTCATTTTACTGGCGGGAACACTTGCCTTAACCGATATAGGCCATATGAGCAAAATTTTTAATCCAGTGTCATGAAATGCTACACTGAAAATAAGTTGGACTACTTTCCAAGGTAGTACCAAAACATGAACATAAAATTCTAGGTGGATACACGAACTAGTATTCCTACAGGGGCGACATAGTTCAAGAACTAGGAGATATACTAGGGACCCTTTTGATAAACAATTGCGGTATGTCACCATCTCATGATAACCATTGTGAACCTACCTTTGTACATTGGGAAGGGACACATCTCACATCTAGTTCACTTGGTGCTAAGCTAGAGTCCCTTTTTGAAATGTCTTTATGCCTTTATTAATCATCATTACTTAGTATAGGACATATGATACTAACCCCTTGTATATTAATATAATTATCTATTTAGGAATTTTATGAAAATGTCCTTTCAATACAACCCTTATATATGAGATTAGCAAATTATCATCATCCTTTCATAATAAAGCACATTTGATATTCATAGCCAACCTTATAACATTTCTTCTTAAACATAATCTCACATCTTTACATAATCAAGACATTTCAATAACATCATCATACCAACACCTAATAAACATAATCACAGGGCATGCTTCAATTGAACTTAATCACAAAATAAAAGCCATCACGATTGAAGTAAAGGTCAAAGATCACAAAGTCTTACCAATTCTCATTCCACAAGCCATCCTCATTGGTATTACCATCAACCAATCCTATTTCATCCATAAATAGGTTTAATAAAACCATTAGATGTTAATTAATACAATAACTTGTCAATTAATACAATAACAAAATCAATTATATCAATACTAACCAATTCAACATGATTTCATAACCTTGGGTTAGGGAATTTGTGTCAATTATGATCTATTCCACAAACTAGGTTAATTAATCAAGAACTAATGTAATTGAACCATAAAACAACATAATGTTATCATAATAATCAAAAGAAACCATAAAAAATACAATTTAGAAAATCAAATTCGTATTAGGAAGAAACCCATATGAAATCATCTTTTTGAAAATCAATTTTGAAGGAACCCTTTGGGGAAAGGAATCCCAAAGGTTAAAGGATCTCATACCTTGTTAATTGTTGAATATTGATGGAGAAAAGAACCTTTCTTGCTTCCCTAATGACAACCTAGCCCTTCAATGGAGTTCTTCTTTGGGAGGGAGAAAGCAGAGAGAATGGAGAGCAATTTGATTTTGAGATTGATAGTGTTATAAAGAAATTTTAGACTTAGAGTAGGTTATATAGTTAATTAAGTAACCTTATTAACCACCCCCTAATCAATAATTAAACCCCTATCTAACTAACTTAACTAAATGAACCAATTAATACTCACCAACGAAATTACAGAACTGACCTATGAGACCACTACCTACGGGCCATAGGTCCGTCGATGGTGCCTTGGACCAACCGTCATTTTGGTCAGAGAGTTGCCAAAATGTATTTTTGGGAAAATGTTTAACTGATCATCGATAGAGGCAATCGATGACCCATCGATTGGACCACATCTCGTAGCCTGCAACCGTTGATGGCTACCGTCTCAAGATAGCTTTTAGCCAATATGAAAGGTGTTGACACCCAATTTCGACCCTCCTCGGTATAAATTAGTTCTCGAGCTTCTTAAATTTCCAAACAATTTAAAATGATTTGTTTTATTCATTTTGGGGAAAAAAATAATAATCTATGAATTTTATGTTATTTTGAATACTTTTCTCATTTTTCTTATAATTTTTAGATAATATATATTTTACATAATTATGTACTATAATTAGTATACTTACGATTATTTCTCAAAATATTTTAATTTCTGGTAAAAAATTCTATTAAACTAATTTAATTTAAATTATGGTTATATTTTGAATCACTATTTTACAATTAAAATAATTGTATTACTAAAATAAAGAAGCTCGTTGATTAATTAATACTAATTCAATTTTTTTAAGGTTTAGCTGAATTTATATTCTTAACTCAATTTGGCTATTTATTAAATTAACCCATCTTAATTTTCCAATTTAATTCAATTTTGGGCCATTCTTGCAAATTCCCTTTAATTCCCACGCCCAATTATACTCCCTTCCTGCCAAGTTTTTCAGCCCACTACATTATTAATTCTAGCCCATTTCAATTAATTCCCACTCTTCTTACTTTCCCACCCCAACCCCAATTCTCTTTCCCAGCCCATTTCCTTGTCACTTTGATCCGGCCACGTTTGCCTTCATACACTCCAAACAGTCTTACGCTCATAAATTCCCACGTTCTTCTTCATCCCCTCCAAACAGCCTCCTCATATGATTCCCAGAAAATGACCCCTCCAACTACGCGCCTCACACGAGTTGAGGCAGTGGCAAATTCGCAGGTAAGCAATGGTTTCTTTCTTTCATTTTCCTCTACAATTCGTACAACAGTATGCACACATCTTTTCAGCGAAGGACACTGAAATTCTGTCCTTGTGTCCTCAAGATTGGAAAACATAGCTCCAAGGACGATGGAGACCATCCTATCCCTCCACCTTGCCTACCAATCCGATGGGAGTTTGGGCATCGAAATCGGCATATTCCCTCAGCTTTTGGATAAGATTGGAGTTTGAAATTCAAAACGGGGATGGGCCTGAAATGGCATCTTCCAGCCTTTTCCTTTTGAAAACCCTATTGTTCTTCTATAAATAGACTGTTTCTTCATTGAAGAGGGGGATTTTGATTTCTTCTCGGATTTTCTTTTTTAGCCCCTTTTCCTTTACTACTCATGTATGAGAAGTGACAAAGCTAAGGAAGGTTAGAATTTTCCAATCATACACAGTTACGTGTGAACGTTCAAGAAAGAAACTTCAAGGAGATTGAAAGTCGCGATTCTGTTGCTCCTGTCTATTTATTCTTCTTTGGAACCGTTAAGAGTTTATTTCGGTGGTTGAAGCTTGCTATATTTCTCGTCATTTCCGTTCGCTGCTTTCAAAAAGGTAAACTCTGTTTATACATGTGTTAATTTATCCTAGACGGAATTTTGTTTAATTCGCAGTTTTGAGTCCAGCAGGTTTGTTTCTGCTATAAATTTGGCTAGTAATGTGATTTTCCTGTTGTTTAATGGCTCAATGGTTGTGTAATGTGTTTGTTATCATGTTAGCTTGAGCTTTTGAGTAGCCAAGATAGCTGTTTTTCTTCTCTCTTTTCTGCTTTTTGCTTTTGTTTCCTTTTCTTCTTTCTAAGAGTATTCTTGCGAATACGTAATGTTCTGTCCCCTTTGGAATCGTTTGGTTTCCTTGCTTTAGAATTTTCTCTCCAATGTTGGTTCTATGTGCATTCTGAGCATTATGCATGATTCGAGTATTAATGGAAGTCGCTCAAGTATTACATATTAACCGTTATGTGTGTTGGTTCGAGTTTGCGTCTATGAAGATTAGTTAGTTTGCTGTTTAGTGTTGTTTTCTATTTCGACATTCAGTTCTCTCGTTTGATTTTCATTAATAAACCCCTTACTCTATTAATCTTGTTATTCAAGCTTGTAAAAAAGGATCAGGAAGTTCTGTAATTTGTTTCAATAAGTCCTCAAAGCACTGTTATTGCTACTTTTCTTTTTCTTAAGCTTAGTACTATGTATTATTTTTTTTTGACATATTTTCTTCTCTTGAACTTCCTTTAACATGGCATTTTGTTAGATTTTGCTCACTGCAGTTTTCCCTTTTTTTTAACTTATTGTTTTGCAGATTATCCCTTCTTCCCTCCCCTCTTGTAATTTTGTTCATTTTTTTTAACTCCAACTTTGTTTTATATATTTAAATTTTAATAAGTATAAGAAATCCTTGCGAATTTTTGAGATTCTTTGATTGTTCTTTGCTCTAAGTATCATCTGGCTGCCTATTATCATTCGATTTATCATCTAATCTCTGTGGAAAACATCTCTCTTGCAATAGAACATCCATTAATTTCCTCTTGGCCATTCGTTCATAGCATCTATCTTGATGTTTCTTAACCCTTCTGTTAGACATTAGTTGTGTGCATTCCATGAATATGATTGTATTTGGCAATGTATGCATTTTCCTGCATGCTGCTGCAAATTTCCTCTTTGTTTTTATTTTTATTTTGAAGGTTTGGTTGGTGCCATCATTTGCTTACTTGGTTTTCTTTCGAGCCATGCATTCTTGTTTATTGGAATCCCTTTAGTAGTTTTTTTTGGTTGTTTGTAAAGTTTTCTTTCGTTCAAGATGTGTCTCGTTTATTATATTATCTCATGTGCTAATCCATTTTCGTTTTATTGCATGTGACATCGATTCGAATCTACTTTGGACTCCATTCTCGCATTTCTCCGAGTTGCACAGATCCTTGAGTCATCCCCCCATTTCAAAGTCTAGAAAGCTAAAGCTGATTTGCAGTTTGAAAACAGCAAATATGGTGCTGTAAAATTATGTTTGCAGGTGTTGAAGAAGCTGTATACCAGCGATATACACATGTTATACACTGATATACAGGTTGAAATGTGCACAAGAGGTCAAATTTGAAATCTCGATTGATAGCAGTCCAGATGTGCTGCTGAAATGGAACTGTCAACTTTGGAAATTTAAAAAACAGGCTGATATATAGCCTGTATACACTGATATACAGAGACGCTATACCAAAAATAGGTGTAAAAATGCGAATTGCAGGTTAACATACAGGGACGCCGAATTCAGATAAAATACAGGAATAGGCAATGAATACGTGCGTAGAATACAGCCCGTATACATTGATATACATCTTTTGGGCAACGATATACAATTGTTAAACAGGTTAAAAAATGGTACATGTACAAATATCACCGAAATAATATGGGAAATACAGGTGGAATCGTGAGAACTTGTATTCGAATAAATATAGGTATCAAACAGTAAAAAATGGACTGGATATGCACAGTGTACATCAATTTGTATATCCTATTGCTTTTTTCAAGAAATTGGGCCAATGCCCTTCAGCAATTTTTTTTCATAGGCCCAAAGGAGAATGTTTGTTTTGCAAGTTTTTTAAATTGTTAAAAAGGGGCTTTAATTAAAGTGATTTAGTTTAGAACAGGTGGACCAAAGCCCAATGAAATGAATTTAGGCAATCAAGCTCAAGTTCAAAATTTTTCCTCATTATTTATTATTTGTTTGAATTAACTGATATTGTGGTAGAATTTTAATAATCTTTTAAAGGGCAGTCATTTTTTTCATTATTTTAAATTTTACTATTTTATTCACTTATTTTGTTTACTTTTGTCACCATTTAGTCTTCCTTAAGTTAATTTCCTTTAAATGTTTTCCTTTGGAAATAATAAGGAACAAAAAAATGGAATAAATATATTAAAACGAATTCTTTACTAAGTTAAAATTTAGAGAATATATTTGAAAGGTCATTTTAGTCAAATCACAGGTCAACCGCAAGTTAGCGGGCATTCCGTGGGACTAACACCTTCTCGGGATGTACATTTGAACTTCGAACCTTTTCAATCGATTTTTATCTGTTTTTATATCTTTTGAAAAATTTTCTTGATTTTATCAAAAATCAAGTGGCGACTCCTTAAATTGGAAAGTCAATTTTTCTTAAATAATAAGATTAATTGATTTTTCAAAATCTAGTCATTTTTTACTATTTTTAGCCAAATATTTTTAAAACTTATAAAACTGAAATGGCGACTCCACTGGGGATTACTTAAGTTCTAACCATAAGATTTGACTATTTGACTATTTGTTTTTTATTGTTAAAATATTATTTTTATAGAATATGTTTAATTTTTCATAAATTGTCATTGCATTCATAGCATATCATAATTCCGTCAAACAACATTTATTTTATTTTCACTAAAGGATGATTATGCGGGTTCGCAGTCATTCGTTAACCAAATTCTTCTCGGGACACCCTGTGACGAGTGTAGTTTGCTACTTGATTGTAATAAAATCGTTAACTGTCCCAGCCCAAGTAATCCGCTTGGGTTATCCTTTCCACTTAAATACAACCCTCTCTTAGTTAAACTAAGATTGAACGAAACCCAGTCCCGAAAATAGCGCATTGACCTAAGATGACCCAACATCCAAGGAGTGTTGGGACCATTATAAAGATCGCCCTAAGTCCAAAGAGCCTACGGCTCGATCGGACGATCATATTTGTGTGACAAATCTGAAGGATGTGTTGTGTGCTTAAAATATTTATTGTATCATGGGGGGTGTCCATTAACTAGTTGTATGTTTTTGTAATTGTCGATTCAATTCCTCCATTTAAACAAGGTCACCAAGACGCCCGACATTCTCCGAGTATGGTGGGACAACCTCAAAGATTGTCAAAAGAGAGAAATCTCGATTTACTTGGGTAACCTACCTTCAATAATGGACTTCAAGGTATGGCCCATGTTTATCGAGGTCATCACTCGATTCTGGGATGACGAGACGATGGTCTTTTGATTTGGAGATGTCAAAATAACGCCCACACTAGAGGAAATTAAGGACTTTCTAGACTCAATTGGGACATGTGGCAAAAGAAAAAAATGTCCGAATCATCACATCCTTCTTCCAGATAGGCCAACTAGTAAAAAATTGAAGGATATTTTGTTTCTAGTAAATGCAAATTGGTTAGGGACCCACGACATATCACTAATGAGATTTTTTGAGAGATGGGGGCATGACAGCTATTTCAGACTATTCCCGAATGAATTCCACGATCACAGTACCTGGAGGCAAACTCAGGCTATCGGTTTCTCCGTGTGCGTTTTAGGAACTATGGTGGTCCCTAAATATGAAGAAAAGGAAATCGACACCCGGGTAGTGTGGGTAGTGAACGCCATGTTCAGAGGAATTGGTAGAAAATCAGAAGAAAAGAAATACTGTTCTTTGGCCCCAGTCATTTTGACCGACATTTACCGATCCTTAAGTCTGTGTAAAAATGGGTTGAATTTTTTCCAAGGTTGCAACATTCTACTCCAATGGTGGTTGACTAGACATCTATGTAAAAGGGACGACGCCCAGCCACAGGAGTTGGATAAATTGAGTTAGACGAGTCCTCTTTATAATTAGGAATTCTACCTAAGTGTCCGAAGATTTCCAATTCATACCACTAGGGATGCGTGGGAAAAGGTGTTTTATGATCTGAAAGAAGGAGACATACAATGGATGTTACCAAGCTTCAAGTCCGAGAGGATAGTAGCACAAGGGGACAAACTTCCATTTTTAGTCCTTCCTGGCATCAGAGGATTGCGTCCCTACAACCCAACGACAGTGATGCGACAATTTGGTAGAACACAAGTCATACCCGTCCAAGGAGATGCTAGCTCTTTTATTGTCGATTTCAACGAGAATAAAAATATACCTTTCGCTAAGATTATCCTCCAGAAATGGGTCAGGCGTGTCAACATGGAGTGGGATATGACCGAGAACATATATGAAGCTGGGTTTGTCGACGAATACAAGACATGGTTGCACAATGATCTGCATGGTGTAGTGAATCCAATACCACGTATGGGTTGAATAGTTGAAGACATACAAACAATGCTTTTGATTTATGCATACCAAATTCAGCAAGATGGGACCGAAGGGAGCAAGAATTTCAGAAGAGGGAGCAGGAATTTCAACAAAGGGAGCGAGAGTACTAACTTCGAGATTTAGAAAGTCACAGGGTTTTGGCTGTGACGTCACAGGAGTTAGCCGACACAAGGGCTTGTCTGATGCGTTTGGACACTATTCTGGATGAGCAGATGAACACTTTATGAGCCGTACCAACAGCTGTGTTCGCTGAACCGTACGTGTTCACCAGCAAGTGCATTATCCACGAAGAAGTAGAGAAGTCAAGAAGAGAAGCTGAACCATCGACTTTTTGACTCCCCTGCGTGGGATTATTTTTATATATGTATTTGCATTACATACCCTTCCTAAAATGTACCCCATTTGATTTTTGATTATGTAATGAACTCTATGATATTTAGTGAAATTTATTTTGGGGATACAACTATTTGTTTAAATGGCGCAATACATCATTCAGATCGCTAGCCTACCCTTGGCACAGAAGGGTCACATGCATGTTTAGGACGTGATATATGTGTGTTTAACTGCTTATGTGTTATGTTGCAATTAATGAGGATATCATTAACTCACTCCTATCCAAAAATTTCCAAAATATACAGAAGTCACTATTGCAAAATGTCTGACCAAAGTTTTCAAGTCCTAAGTTTCTCACCCAAAAAAGATCTCCTAATATACCACAAATCCTAAACACTGTTCCATCATCTCAGGAAAGGCTAAATTACCGCTATGGACAAGGGCAAGAACATCCATATGGAACTTACTAAAGAGGAACTGCAGAGAAAGATCGAAAGGATCTTTCGGGAAATTAGAGAAGAAAAGGAAGAAGGGCTTAGAGTCGACATGGACACAACAATTTACAAAGCTGCAGTCGTGACATTAGATGAGGATCTGGCATCGCAGATAAAAAGAAAGAAGGATGTTGAGAGGGAGATCGAAAGCTTGAGAGAGAAGTTGTACACGCTTCGGTTGAAAGTGCAAGAAATAAAAGCTAGAGAGGCGATGATAGATTCGGAGACTGCCAATCTGTTAGCTAAAAAAACATGTTACTTGACAACAAACTGACAGTCCATAGCAACCTTATGAACGGAAAATACCCCATCTGTGAGCAAGGAGCATTCAATAGTGGTCCGGACAACGCTCATCCTAAATTGACTGTGGAGGATGACAGTGAGGAAATCATCTACAAGCCTCCATTTCTAGGTCGCTCGAAAAGAAGATAGTGATGCTACAACAAGAAGATAAATGACTAACGTGTCATCGTCATGTTATATTTTGAGAATTCTACTCTTGTCTTTCAATTTCCTTGTAACCGTAATGAAAGAATGAATGAAAATATTTATCCTGAACTCGAACTACGTTCGGCCTGAATTCTCCTCGTGAGATACGTAGGAAGCCTTCCTACCCGGCCCCTATCCTTAAAAATTTTCATTCTCCCTTCATGTTATAAAAAGATACGAAGATCAGATCAACACTCATCAAAAGGCAGCTGCAAGAAGACCGTAGCTCGACGTGATTTAGACTTCCCGAGATAGTGTCAAAACTAAATCAAGCAAATTCCTGCTTGTTAAAAAATGTATTCCCGTCCTCACTCGTGGGTTAAAGATATGTTCAAACAGAGCAACTTGTGTGTTTATCTTCTCTCTATGTGATATTATGCATTTTGTACTCCGAATCTGCACTAACAAATCTGCCTTTGAGGTGTTTCACTTCTCAGGTACTTTTAAATTGATCTGTGTCGATCAAAGCTGGCAGATCATCCTTACTTCACCAGGTCGAAAGGTCCTAAAGATTCCTTCCCTGGAAAAAATTTAGACAAAGGAAAGACAGTCTTGGGAGACAACAACGACGAAGTGAGTCTTACTAACATCGTGGTAGCTCAGCCCATCGTAGCGGAATAAAACGAACTGATCATGAATCTAATGCAACAGGTCGCTGAAATGAGAGTTGAAATGCAACGGAGACAAGAGACGCCTCCACCTGGATTTGGTCCTAATATTGCTGATGGAAGACCTCCGATCTATTTTCCTTCATCAAACACGAATCCAACTCAGATGCAACCTTCTACACTTGTGCATAATCCGTATGCGATAGATCTAACAACCCAAACCCCCAATACGCTTCTGTATCTTACCAAACTCCATCACCTCTTCCAAATAACCACCCTCAAATGCCACCCCATCCTTAGAATACTCAAACCGCCCCACCGCCACAGAATCAAAATCAAAATCAAACTGCCTTCAATCCCCAAACACCTCATCCCCATTTATATCAGAACACCAAACCTCAGGCTTACCCATAGAACTACCAGACCGCCCAAACGTTCCAAGTCCCTCTATAGCTGCACCCCTCTCCAAAAGAGCCACCTTCCAAGTTCCCGTTCCTGCCGAGCACGAGGTGCACAGTGCTGAGTTGGATCACTATGTAGAACATGAAAGAGAATGGAAGGCAAAAGAGGATGCGAGGATTGATATAAAAGAGGAAATTAAAAGGTCTAAGAAAGACCTACAGTGCATCCCAAACGTCGCTGGACTCAATTGCGAAGAGTTGTGCATCCACGCAGAGT